GATCCTGACTTTTCTAGTTTTTATATGCTCCTCTGGAACGCCAGTTAAAGTAGTGACATCCTACAGAAAAACAAGCCAAAAAAAAAAAAAAAAAAAAACAAGCCAAAAAAAAAAAAAAAAAAAACATATTTCAAACAGCCTATATACTCACTAATGTACTTTTGTTGTTTCCTATATTCATACAACTCCATTCAGATTTGTTCATAAATTGAGAGAAACTTTCTGGTTTATTTCACTACCATTCTGATATTTTACAACATAAATTGCTATTTAGATACCTGTAAATGGTTTATTAGGGGGAGGTGGTAGGAGACAGTGGAAAAGGATTGTAAAAAAATTTACGCCCTTTTGTCCAACAAAGCATTGGCATTTTCTGAAGAGACTGTTTGCTAAGAGAAGAGCCTATAGTCAACAATGCTCTTACTTTGTGAACAAGTGTGAACTAGTCAGAGGAGAAAAAATATAAAGGAAATATGAAAAGGGGATATAAAAAGTATATCTTTATTTGCATGTTTATTTAAATCTTTTTTTTTTGAAAATGATTTTAATATAATTATATCATCTACAGCCATCTGATCTTTGACAAACCTGAGAGAAACAAGAAATGGGGAAAGGATTCCCTATTTAATAAATGGTGCTGGGAAAATTGGCTAGCCATAAGTAGAAAGCTGAAACTGGATCCTTTCCTTACTCCTTATACGAAAATTAATTCAAGATGGATTAGAGACTTAAATGTTAGACCTAATACCATAAAAACCCTAGAGGAAAACCTAGGTAGTACCATACAGGACATAGGCATGGGCAAAGACTTCATGTCTAAAACACCAAAAGCAACGGCAGCAAAAGCCAAAATTGACAAATGGGATCTAATTAAACTAAAGAGTTTCTGCACAGCAAAAGAAACTACCATCAGAGTGAACAGGCAACCTACAGAATGGGAGAAAATTTTTGCAATCTACTCATCTGACAAAGGGCTAATATTTAAATCTTAAATAGAAGACAATCTGTTATTTACAGTTTCTGTGTCAAATTGCTTACCCACAAGGCATTACCTTCAGAGGGAAACCTGAACTTTTTGTAAACAATTAAAATTAACAACTTTAATTAGCATTTTGATGTATCTCCCTTTGGTGAAACCTACTAGAGAAATGATACGATCAAACATACTCTGCAAAAGTAATCCCAAACAGTGGCACAATTCTTGCCAGAATGTGAGATGAAATCAATGGTAACTTTAACTTGATTTTCTATAATGTTATCCAGTAACAAATGCTCATTTTAAAAATGCACAGAATTTTGATGCCCCAGAATAGATACATTTATCAAAACATAGTGGCAGTCAGGACACAAATTAGTAAAGTAATTCAGAGTTTAAAACCTATTTATGCCTACTGTTTCATTATTGGAACTCTAAGCACGTGGGAGTTATTTATATCCTACTGCTTAAGGCCATTGCCAAGGTCTGATTGCAAACATTCAAAAAATTGCAACCTCAGACATAAATGGGTTAAACCTCCATTTAGTAATGGTAAAATATTTTATTTGATCAAAGTAAATCACACTGGGGTCAACCATATGCTTAATAATGAAGCATTTTAAAATCATGGTTCACTTACTAGCGTAAATTTTGGATAACTTGGTAAAAACAAGAGTTAACATAAAAACGATTATACCAAACTTGTGAAAACTAGAAAATGTCTGTGAATTTTTATGTCATTATAATACACACCCTAATGAAGACTAATGTTTATTTGTAGTTTCAATCTATCAATGCTATGAACCAAATAATTGGCAAGAATACTTACCTGCAGTACGTACTAGTGGGAAAAACACTTAGGCACATTTCTGACTTGACTAGTCTCTCTATCCACAAGATTGAAAACCAGTTCTTTAAAGTTATTTTAGTTGGCAACCAATCCTCTATTTAACACAATACCTTTCCACCTGCATCAATAATTAGGTGTGGCTACTTTGTCACAGCTTGTCTGTTTAGAGAAACTATGAAAATTATCCATATAAATATTTACACAAATATGCACTTCTAATATGTGCCTACATTTATTTATTTTTAAAGTTTCTCTATATCTAGGTTAAAGTAAAAACAAAATGAGTGAAGTTGGCACATAATTTTTAAAGGTGTGAAATATTTTAATTGGTAATTTCTAATATTCAGGTTCAACTTCAAAAAAAGTTTAAGCATTATTACATTTAATGACTTCCTGAAGCATATATGTCTCTACTTAAGAGCTTAAGTGGCTCAACTCCTGGGAAGTCCTCAATGTTTAAATCCTCCTTTGAATTCACTGTAATACTTGCAATCTGCCATAGTAGTTTATTATTTAATATTATATACAGCTTAAGCTGGGTATAAACAAACACTATAAGCATGTTATAGAATTATGGGGTGGGGCATCTTTTCCAAATTCCAAAGCATTCCCTCTGTTCTGAGCTGAGTTCATAAAAGCTGGAGCTGTAAATTATGTCTATTTTTAGAACTATACGAAAGGAAACACATTAAACTCTTAACACTAGTTACCTCAGGAAGATTAGAGGAAACACTTTTACTTTACCTACTTCTATACTGTGATACATATATGTCAAAGTGATTAAAGAACTTAAGATTTTAAACTTTTTCAAGTTTTGAAAAAAATTGAAATAGTATTTCTTGATTTATACTATAAAACAGTATTTGATCTACAAAGTAGAAAGGACAGTATAAATTTTAGGATAGAAAACCTTTTTTAAAAAGTGTCTACACAATGTTGCTAAGCTATTTATATTTTGAACTCGTAACTACCAAACTTCCATGTCTCCTCAAATTACGGCAATTATTTGATATCTTCCCCTAATTTAAAGTTGGCATTTGAACAAGTGGGTTTCTGATTTTGGGAATCCAAGTTGTCATGACACAGAATCACTGTTTTTGCATGCAGAAGACATGTAAGGTACTACAGCCCAGTTGAGCTGCTGCCAAAGACAGAATAAAGAGGCTTGGCATCTCTCATATACTTGACACCTAAAGGGCACAGAGGCTCTAAAATTCCTAGTCCCTGTAGGCACACTCTCAGTCTAGACAACCTGATTTCTCACACTTTAAAAATGCATCACGACACCCTATTGTTATCATTTCATCCACACAGCTTTGGCTAGTGACAGAAGAACCTGTTCTTTAAGTGCATTTCAATGGGTTAAAGCTCCCACTCCAAGATTCCATGAAAACAATGTAACACTTGAAAAGAACTACGAGGCGCTATGCTGAACTCTACTTGTGTCTTCAACGCTTTGTGTGGTTCCCTCTAAATTCTCACGGAGCTACCTGAGATCTAACTTCCACAAAAAAAATTTAAAATCTGTAAACTATTTAAATTATATTGAACTAACTGTATTCTTTATGGATTTCTACTTTTGTATGGCAATATGGATCACCTGTGAGTTTTTGAAACCTATTTAGAAAAGCTAGAAATGCTTTGGAGAAAGACGTCACTATTGCCTTTTACAAATTTCTCATTTACTGGTAAAATAGAGATAAATAATTTATAAATAATAATTCAAAAAACGAAATCACATAGGTATGAAAAGCCTTCAAGCTGGCACCTGAAGAACCTCAAGACTCACCAATTAATAATTATCTATAAATTCCAATAAAACAAGCTACTCCATAAGTAATATACACAGATTTATTGAATTTTAAAACTTTTAATTGTTGAATAGTTGGGTCAAGAATGAAACCTATGTTTCCATTATTAATGTCATTATCCTAATAAAGTTTCAGAAATACAACCTTATGTACAATATGCTATTTTAATAAATGATAACTAATAAGTCAATAATTCACAGATTAAGGGCATTCAAGTCAAAATTTGCTAATGGAAAGATGCATGTTATAATTCCAAAGTTCATTCTTTCAATACTATATCTTCAACAATTTTAAATTTTGGAGGAGATGATAGCTGACCCGCCATTTCACAAGTCTACATAAATGAAGAGGAATTTAAAAAATCACTATGAATGTACCAGTATACGTATATGAACTTTATTCTTTCAAATACCAATTTCCATGATAAAATATTAGCTTTCCATATTAAAATTGTATGATTCGGTTATCAACTGTCTCCATTTATCTTCTGTGAATTCAACTTTTTTTTTCTTTAACAAAGGAAGCAGGGAACAAGCAATGGGAAGTTGGTGTCAAAATGCAGAAAAACCTCCCAGCAAGCTTCTTGCAACCACCCAGGATTTAGAGTCTTGCTGGCCGCTCTCTTTTCAATACCAGAATTTCACACATTTCAATGACTATTATGACTTCAAAGAATCAAATTTTCATCATTGTCCGTCATCTGCCGGTTGATTTGTATAAAGGAGTTCTTCTGCATGCACTCCAAACAAAAGCCTCCTTACTTTTGTGGCTATATATCAAGTTTAAAAGTTTTGTTTGTGACAGTTGTGTCTTTGGTAAATTAGGGTAACACTGAAGGAGTGCAGCTGCTCTGCAGGAACCTCCTTTTTGGCACCATTTCACTTAAATAAAAACTGAATAATTAGCTTCTGCCTTTATTAAACCACAAAAATGCCACTGGCCTTAGTAATTACTTCCGGTTGCCCCACCCACTTAATCTTAACAGTTTACACTTGTCATAAAGAGAAATAAATGTAAGGTTTTTGCACTTTGGGATGCATTTTTGCTAGATCTCTCAGTACACCCAGAAAATCCAAAATTTTTACCATGCTTTTCCTAGTAAGTTCATTAAACTGCATATTAGTATGAATCAATGCTGAAAAGTTTTAGTAGAGTACATACTGAAACATTAAAAATACTGCTTACAGAAACTTGTTCTATT